AAAAAAGAGGAAGAAAAAAAAAAGAAAAAGAGAGGAAGAAGATGAACCGATGAACAGATTATATTAGTTTATTTTTTTAAAATATAAATAATAATAATAATATGAGTTGGCATTGAAAAAAAAATCCACGTAAACATGTTTTTAATTTGCTTTGTCACGTCATCAAAAAAATAATAAAAAATGCCATGTAAGCGAGTTAACGATCGAAATTAACAAAAAGACTAACGGAGTGCATTTCGTATAATTAAGGGATCAAAAAAGTGTAAAAAATTGTTAAGGGACCAAAAATATGCAACTCACTAAAGTTAAGGGACCAAATTTAGCATTTAACCAATTATCTATGTTATGTCTGACGGATAGATTCCGACACGGATTCTTTTTATTTTCATTTCTTAAAAAAAAAAAATTAAGTGCAACGATGTAATGAAGCTCATGGCTTTTGGGTCGGGAACAAATCAAGACATATTGACCACATTTAAAATGCAGGTTAAGATAGGATTAAATAAAATTAATAAGATAAGATTAAATTAAATTAAATAGAATGTGCTGTATTGAGTTTAGTTTTATGTTTATTTGAGTTTAGAAATAGAGTGAGATAAGACACAAATAATTGTTTGTATGAACAAATTTATCCTTAATTCCGAGATCCTTCTATTTACGGCTTAAATTTTACAAAAGAGATCGATAATTGCTCTGAGAAACTCCTGAATCGTTACCTTCCAGTCCAGCTGAGATAAAGGCTGAATCTATGAGAGCAACAAGAATCGTGGCTCTCTTGGAGAAGCATCGTCCACGCCTCACGATTTCTACCAGGAAATGCACGTCCAGGACAAACTGTATGGTAATGATGTACATAATAAACAGATTAGCAGGTAACCGATTATCATGTTATCATTGAAAATCCAAACAAAGCTGCATGAATTGAAGACATTACTTCATCAAGATGACATGAGAAAATTATTAATCAATCTTCATGTGAGAATGGATTAAAGACTGTAAAAATGCACATTCATGATACTTTTGATATGTATAGAAGTTCCATGCAGTGGTCAAGTATCGTTAACACTATTTGACTCCGCAAAGTATAATAAGAAGAACAGAATCAGGTTGTTTGACTGCTAATAAGCCTCCTAAGATACATTTTCTTTCAACTCATAAAATTTCCACTATGGAAAAACTAAAAAAATTTAATAAAAATTCATCAAAACAGTTGTTTGATGGTCAATTCTGAATTATTTGCAAATTAATTGACTGTCGAATATAAACAGCAAAATGGTTGCAACAAACTGATCATATAGAGATGGTAAGACAATTAAATATATGTGGTAGAATCAAGAGCAGGAAAATAAACATTTCATGCGTCAAGAAGGATGTTACTTTCAACAGGTTATGCCATAGATTGCATCCTGCAGATTGTCAGAGTAAATTCACTACAAGTTATCTATAACAGTAGATTAAAGAAGAAACTGCTTAGTGGATCTAGGTTACAATTATGGACAAAAAAATAAAATTAGGTGACAATGAAACCAAACATTGATGAATCTCCAAACCTAAAATTCTAAGAACAAGGAATGTAAAGCAGCTTAGACAGAGGTCCACATGATCCATCACCACTAATATGCATTAGATTGTCTACCTGACTAAAAATGTCTGAAAGTTGGAAAGGTGGATTCTCTTCTGTATTTGCCCAAATTTCCTTGTTGCTTGTAATCCAAACAAATATAGACTCCATCAACTCCCTTTGTAGTTCCATCAACCAATACACTTCATAGACATCTTCAGAAAGTTCATCTTTCTTAGTTCTATAAATAGCACCTGATAATTGGACATCAAACAAAGCCATCAAAGCAGCATACCATCTCAAAATCAAACTTAAACTTCTTTAAGTGAGATAATTAAGTCAGTTAACAAAGCACGTTCTTCATATGCATTAACATTGCAAGTTACCTGAAAGGCAATAGAGAGCATTGCATTGCTAAACATTCTAGCCTCAACCCTGTTATCAGTTTCTTTCATAACAATAGATCCAGTTTGAAGAGACATCATTCTGTTTATAAATTGCTGACAGAAATGAGCTCTAAATCGAGTAGTAGCCTCTTGCACAGACAGCATACAAGCATCAAGTTCCTTTTGTTGAAACTGAACTGACAGATTTTTTATTAGCTTGGAATCCATATCACTATTTCCCCCTAAGAAATTAATTTCTCACAATGTTGCAGAAAATATGTTCTAGTGTTGATAGATTAGCCAGCACAGAAACCTGTTCTGGCAGTGACTCGGCAACATTCATTCTTGAGCCACACTCAGAAATATTTTTGTCAAAGGTGATGGCTTTCTCAAGAATGACTACGTACTCTGTAGAGTTCCATTAGTCCTTTAAGGATAGGACCTCCCATTCGAATGTCAAGTAAAGGAGCAACATCTGACTTGATAGCCTGAAAAATCAAAAAAGAAATGCAAAAAAGTTACAACTACACACATGGCAAAAATATCTACTTGGAAAATAGTCATTCCTGGCTCATCATTCATTTTTTGGCCACTTCTGCAAATTCAGTCTTCTTTGTAAAGGAATTGAACAATAAAGAGAATATAAGTCAGCTCACTCTGAAGGTGCTTTTGTAATTGGAAGACTCAAAACTTTTATCTGGTTATAAAAAGACAAATAAAGGTGCATTTGCTATCTACATTCTTTTGAAAATGAAAACAAAGAAAGAAAATAGAAAAGGAATCTCAAAAGAATGAGTGTCTTATAAACCCATCTAGTGTATAGATAGGAGAGACGAACATGTCAATGTGCTTGTCGAAAAAATGCACGGTGCTTTATGCTGTGAAATTGATGGCATTTTCTCAATATGCTAAATAAACATTTCTACCAACCATTGTTGCCTAGGGAAGAGAGAAGATAGAACCTTTGTTGCCATGGAAAAGATATAAAACAACCTAGTGGGTAGAGTTACAAACACAAAACAAAGCTATGTACTTGATTTTTCAATGAGACACTAACTACTCCCATGATGACTAGTCTAGAGAATTTATAGAACAGACCTGCAGGAAAGTTAAAAATTTCCTGCCACTGTTGGTGAGCAGACAATAATCTGGTTGTTGCCTAGTATCCATGGATGAATTACCCCCATATAAAATTCCTGGGACACAATATCTTCCCAAAACCCAAGTATCAGATGCTGTGAAGATACCAATAACTTTCTCAAAATGCTCTACATGTATCCTTAGAATCTCTTCCATATGAGGACGAATATGGTTGAATAAGCATGGCTTTAACAGTAATTTCAGAGTTTCTAACAATGAGCAATAAGACAATGCAAACTGCAAGGCTTCTACTGCCGTGGACAATCCACCACTTATTTCTGAAATAGACTTAACATATTTATCAAATGAAGCAACAAATATTTTAGTTTCTTCATGGGTCCAATGAATCAGCTCTGAAGCACAGGGCGAAGTTGCTCCATATAAGATGACAAAGCCCCCTGCTCCCTGGAAAATCATAGAGAATACAAACTTGGCAAGTTCCTTAACATATATCCCATGTGAAAACGATTTTGAACATTGCAATTTCTGTATTCCCTTTGCAATATGCAAATGGTAATATTTAAGCAATAACTGAGTTGCACAATGAATGTCACCAAGTCTGCAAATTCCAACTAATGCCTTTTGAAGTTCTGCTGCACATATTCTTGGGTTTTCAGCTGCAAGAGTCAAATGTGATATAAGCCTGTCTTTTTTCTCTGAAAGTGCAGAGCTATACAACATCAACAAGTCAGCCGAGCACTTCTTATCACACTGCATCCTTTGAAAATTTTCATCCTCCATTTCAAAGATGGATATAGGCATATAGCTTCATCGATCCTGTTCTCCAATAGAAGAATGTCCAAGGTTTCTGAAAGATTATCAATATGACTCTCCCACCTGCTTGGTGAAGTTGGTTCATCAGTGGCTTCAGATTCCAGAATAATTGATTCTATTGTCTCCTCAGACATAACCTTCAGATGCATTATTCCATCAAGAAGGTCGTTTACAAGCTTGTTCTGGGTTGAAAGTTGGGTTCTTAGTAGCATCAGTTTATTTTTCATCCCTTGCACTTCGTTAAATACTCTGCACGCATAATAGTATTAACTCGAAAATGTTGGGAAATAACACTAAGATTAATTGATCTTCCTAATATCAAAATAAAGCTCAAGAAGTAAAGAAAGAATTTTTTTTTTTTTTCTTTTAACAAACTAAGACCTGTTGAATGCAGAATAATTGGAGAAGATATTTCTATAAAAATCTTCATCAGATTCTGCCTTTATCTCGATAAGCTCAGAACACGGATGCTTAATCCCCTAAAATGAAACGATATATATTCCTTAAAATAGCCCAAAACAGAAAGGAGGAAGATAAACAAAATCCAGAAATCTTCTTTGTTTATTACCTTTCCAGTCATGGACTCTACCTTGACCTAGACCTCACCGTTCTGGTCGCTGGAAACGGAGGAAACTTGGGAGCTGGAGTCGGACCGAGCAGCGTCCGCCATTTCTTCGTGATCTCCGAACCGGGAATCGGGTAGACGCCGAACAAGATTCCATTCAAATCGATTTCTCGTCGAACAAATGCGATCCACACCTCGAACTGAAAATCAAGCCTGGCATTCCCCGTCTTTGCTTTGTGCCGTAGTCGTCCACCCACAGCTCACTTCGTTTTCCCCGTTGGCTTTGTTTCCTTCCGCTTTGGAATTTGGCACCGGCGCCGTTGTAACATGCGTTTGGCACTTTGGCTCCTATGCTTTAACGACGTCGTTAAGTAGGGCCCATAAAAGAATAAAGTCCATTTAAAAAAAAAAAAGGGTCCGATTGGGGATGGAAAAGGAGAGGGTGAAGGTTTACCGCACTTCTTAAAGGAGTATGGTTATTAAACTGCAATGTTGGTTAGTAAAAATAAAGCCTTTTTTTTTTTAACGGATTACAATTTGAGAGAGGATTCGGACGCAATCACTTTTAAAAACTTGTGTCAAAGTTCTCCGTTTATTTATTTATTTATTTATTTATTTATTTATTTATTTATTTATTTAACAAATTCGTAAAAGATCGAATTCAAATCGTTATTTAAAAATTAAAAAATGCACTTATATGTGATCTGACGTCATCAAATCCAAAGCTCGGAGGCCGAAATGCAAGTTCACCCGTTTATTGATTTGGGACAAAAGCCTTATTTTTATGATTTTTCTCGTTCGACTTTAACTATCCGTCCAATCACTTTTAGAGAATCTATCCAGCTTGAGGAATCACAACCTGTTGAAGGTGCACCTTATCAAAAAATATATAACCATTGAATTACGAAATCCAAATACAAATAAAGTCCTTAAGTGTGAAAGAACAAGCAATGTCAAACACCCATTTTATGAGCATGTGAATATGGCACTACAAGAAAACAAGGTTTAATCAACAAAAATTTGTGTCGATTATAGGAAAATTTTTGTTGATTATACTTATAATTGATAGACATAATCGATAGTTAAATTTATCAAATAAAAGTGGTCAAAAATAATATAATTGACAACATTTCTGTTTCTATCGATTATACTAGCTGGTTCCAGCAAAAAAAAAAAAATACAATTAAAAAATGTAGAATTAAAATTTTAATTTTGTAGTTATTAATTAAATTATAAAGTTGTTAAACAAAATTTAATGATAAAATCAATCATGTGTAACAACAATATATATAAAATAATTTTGAGAATAATTGGAAAACAAGAATAATATTCAAATATTATGAGAATTAATGGAAAAGTAAAATAAATGATAAGTAATTTATCTATAATAAAATAAAAAAAACCTGTAAAAGGGAAAGGAAAAAGCATTATTATACATTAGAAGATTTTATTTAAGTAAAAGGAAATGAAAAATATAAATCAAAATGTGAATTTACCTCATAAAATGATTTTAAGCTTAATAATATGCAAAATTTTTTAAAAAAAATTATTAGTAAATCAAATAAAAATAATTGGATGATAAATGAAAATAACAATAAATAAATAAATAAAAGAAAATAAAAATCTTGAGATGAAAGAATGAAAGAAAATGAAGGAAAAGTAGAAGGATGGCAATCAAAAATGAAAATAGGGAAGGTAGAAAGAATGATGAAAGAAATGTAGAAACAAGAGGGAAAGATGAAGACATACAATGCAAGAATTAGGAAGGTAAAAGGAAAGGGAGAAGAAGAAAGAAGAAAGAAAAATAAAAATGAAAGGTAGAAGAAGAAGAAGAAGATGATGATGATAAGAACAGAGGGGGAAGGGAACAAGGTGAAACATCTGTGGGAAAGGAAGGAGGAAGGGAGAAGTATGAGAAAATGAAAATATATTTGTTGATTATATTTATGTGTCCATATATATAGATAAAATATATTCGATAAAAATTCTATCAATTATATTTTAAAATAATTGTTGATTATGCTCTAAATTAGATTAACAGTGAAATTCAACTTTTTTTCATGTGGGGAAGGCGACAGCCAATAGTGATTGTCAATTATAAGTGTAAAAATTTTATAAATACATATGTTAATATTTAATCTTCCAC